AAAGTATGTAGAATAATAGCCATTTAGAGGTTTAGGGCTTCAGGGGTTTAGGCTTTAGGGTTTTATGCCTGGACCCCGAAAGTATGTAGAATAATAGCCTTTTAGAGGTTTTGGGCCATTATTCTACCTACTTTTGGGGGTTTAGGTAAGGCTTTTACAGTAGAGTTCATCTCAGGGCTTTTAGGTTTGGGGTTCCGGTTCAGGGTTTAGGGTTTAGGCTTTTAGGTTTGAAGTTCCGGTTCAGGGTTTAGGGTTTAGGCTTTTCGGTTTGAAGTTCCGGTTCAGGGTTTAGGGTTTAGGCTTTTCGGTTTGGGGATTTAGGGATAAGCATTGAAGTTTCTGAAAGAGCTGCTGTAGGGTTCTAAACGGATTCTGCAGGCTCTTGTGAAGCTCTTTTAGGGGCTTCTTCGCGAGGTTCGGAAAGGGTTCTTCTTGAAGTTCCATAAGGGCTCCTTTTGGTGCTCTGTAAGGGTTCTTCTGTAGGTTCCCTGATGGTCTCCTTCAGGGTTGTACATATAATGGGTTCTTTGGTCTCGCTGTTGGGGACTGGCGATTAAGGCACAGTATACACAACAATTCTTGATAAGTGTGAACTTCTGAAGAGAAGCCTGCTTCCTTCGGCTTGCGAATTCTAGGAATCCCGTGTGGTGAAGGGCTATAAACTTTAGGGGGCAGCTCCCGTAAGGCCAACCCGAACCGCCTCGACTTGAAGTACGACCATCGGTACACGTTAAGAGAACTGTCTACTTGTTATCAGGCCCCTATATTGGGTTTTATATCTATTGCACCCTGAACCATAAACTCTCTCTCTCTCTCTGCACACATAGATGTACGTATATTTACATTTACATTTACATTTACATCGACTTTTGCATACATGCATACATACATACATGCATGCATGCATACATACATACATACATACATATGTCCCTAAACCCTAAACCCTAAACCCTAAACCCGAAAAACCCTGAAAACCCTAAAAACCCTAAACCCTATAAGATCAAGGCTCGGTCTCCGTCATGTTCTCCCGCAGCTGAAGAAGCGCCAGGCCCTCCTCTGGGTCGGCACAGACGTCTGCTGCAGCCAGCGTTGCAAGTGCCCATAAGATCACCTGAAGTTTCGACCTTAAGAATTAGAACAGGGTTTCATAGGGTTCCTTTAAAGGGTTCCTTAAAGGGTTCTGTAAGGGCTACTATAAGGCAGCGGGAGAAGCAATCCTCATGAGGCTCCCGAGAAGGATTCTCAGATTCTCAAAACCCCGTACACTCAAACATTCTGACGGAGGCCAACGTGTGTCCGACCGGGATCCCAATGTTCCAATCACCAACTACGAAGCTCTTAAGATACTCGCCTTTGAACCTTGCAATGTGGACCCCTTATACAAGTACTGATATTTTTTAGGAGTACCCCACCTACCTTCATCCCACCCTTGGAGCCCTTTGAGCAGCAAGAAGCCGAGCCCTGAGCCGCAGTCACCCAACTGCGGCTGAAGCACGGATCTCATGGTACCCAAGCCCGCAGGAGGAACAGCAAGCTCGCTTTTCGGCAGACTTCGGTGTCAAAGGGAACGGAGAGTATCGTGGACTTCGTCTTGAATCGAATGTGAGTGGTTCAGTGGCTTTGCTTCAAGGAGTGCATGTCGCGTGCCTGCCTGAGGGTCGTCGGTTAAGGACGGGACTCTCGTGGTGCTCCGGGGTGGTTCTCTGCACGCCAGCGGGGTCGGAGGACTGCCAGTTAGGTGCTTGCGATTCAGGTCTTCGGATCCGGTCCTATGCCAATATTGACTAGAATCATAGACTCGTTGCGGGGGTTGTTGTAAGTATGTGTGAGGACAAACGGGAATCCGTAGTCAGCCATACATCCTGCAGTGAATGCGGGCCATACACACACTATGTGAGGAAGGTTCGGTCTCGAGCCAAGAACTGCAGTAGTGCCGCTTGGGGTGCTGGGGTTCGGGGTTTACGGGTTTATGGGGTTCAGAGTTGTGGAGAAGTTTTGGCTTCCCAAGAGGGACACATAGGTTGGAGTAAAAGAGCCTTGACAGGTGAGGTTGACACCTGTGGTCTGACACTACCCCATACCACTTCTGTATCCGAGTTCGGGCCATGCTACTTTCAACACTGCTGACAGTAAACCCCTCAATCTCAGATCAGCGACCTCGGCGACGTCGACAAAGTGGGTCTAAGTAGCTCCTAGCAATAACGAGCCTAGTCCCTAGACCTAAACCACGAACGTAGCAGCTTTAGGGCTAAAGCTCCGTGAAGAGGGCCTTGTACCCTTAAAGCCAAAACATGTTTGAGGTTATCGGTTTTTCCCTCCCACTTAGTAAGGACGAGCCCGCGTTGCAGGGTGAGTTCGGGTACTTTGGCAGATGCAACTACTTACTTCAAGCTGCCCTAGGATATCGGTTCAGGGTTCAGGGTCTTGTTTCAAACATGGTCTCCTAGACAGAGAAGGATGAATAGGATGTTGATCCGTTTGTTCTTCCCTCCGGATGTGCTGGGTTGGCAAGGAATCAGTCCACCGGGTATGCATGAATCAAGTTGCAGATGTGCTAAAAGCTTCCTGAGGGTTTAGGGTTTAGGGTTTAGGAACTCTGTTTTGAACCCAGACCCTGGGAACTCGAAGCCCTTAATCGCCCCATTCCGTAAGCCCGAATCCACAACAAGCCTTGTTGTCCTTACACTTCCCTGATGGAGGTTTGCGATTTTCAACGTTGTCCAACCTCAGGAACCCCACAAATAGCAAGAAGTGCAGTTGCGGCGCCCTGGCTGAGCCGCAAGGCACTGTAATACTAACACCCTGAAACACCACTGCTTAAAGCAACTTAGCAGTGAACCTCTATGTCAACACAAGCCTCAAACACAAAAGGCCGAAGCGAATTTATGCTCGACGAACTCGACTGCTTGAGCTGTCTCGCTTGATTCTACGATGCGAAGCCTTCAGTGCAGGGGGTCACGGCCAAAAGGCATGATAACGTGCCTTGAGTTGTTCTAAAGGTTCGGGGGTCTCTTCCAAAATTTGCACTCTATAGCCCGAGACAGTTTCCTGACCACTAAGCCCTAAACCTAGTTGCAAGTTGCTGGCCCAAAAAAGATCAACCTTCTCGCTAGGATGGCACGGCCTAGTTGCAGAGCTCGCTGATAGATAGCCAACCTTGTAATCTGGCTAATATAAGGGCCTTAATAATTTGAATAGGGTTTTGGGGCCCATTATACTATAATTGTAATAAGGAACCCCCAAAGTATTGGTAGTTATTTAGGCCCCTACAATACATTACCTCATGTATGGATTAGGGTCGAGAGCCTGACCCGTTGTCTCATTTAGGGGTTAGGGCTTAGGGTCTGACCCCAAAGAGTGCAAAGCAATCCCCTGAAACAACGGTCCCTACTCTTTATCTAAAGATGTCTACTCAAACAACTACCTAAACCACCACCAAAACTAGGTAAAATCATGGCCCCCAAACGTCCGAAAAGGCTATTCTTCTACATAGTCATGGGGTCCAAGTACTAAGAAGAAATCCTCCCTCACAGCCGCAGCCCCATGGCCAGAACCTCAGGCGGATACGGGGCCATGCAGGAATCAGGGTCACGGGCTTAATGTAGGGGCCTTACTTGTTAGAATAGGGGTATGGGGCCCATTACACTATATAGTTATTATAATCTGGAGCCCCTTCAAAAATGGTATTGGTAATTACTTAGGCCGCTACATTGGGCCTTTTTGGGTTTAGGGATTCATAAACCAGGATCGGGGTGTAGCGCCTGGGCATCAATAAGTTAGGGTTTCGGGTCTAGGGCTTTATGGATCTAGGGAAAAATAAGACACTGTCAGGAGCATAGGGCTTTAGGATTTACGGGATAGTACAGGGTCCATAAGAATTAGAGCGTGGACTTGCGGTTTTTGTACGGCATAGATAATATAAGTTTACAGGGCCTTTCAAGGGAGATCAGTACTACTCACTACTCGTTCAGACCGCTAACCGATAGTACCATGCTTCTGCCAACCTCTGACTACACAACATGAACACACAGGCCTCCAAATCCTCAACCCTACAGCCTTTTTGAACCCAGATTCTGCTGATCAGCTGGGAAGCAGCACTAAACCCTAAACCGCAAACCCTAAACTCTATCTGTGTAGACTTCTTCTGCTTGGAGGGATCAGTCTCAAGCTCCCGTACAGCAGCCCCAGTGAGAAGTGAGACCACGACCTGACTCTAACACCTACGAAAAGTCCATGCCGCAACAAAGCCCCAATTGTTGGAACATCCCGAGTCCTGATGTCCTTGAGGTAAAAAGTAATCACAGCAGCCATCATCCTTAATCCACGCTGCAACTTTCCACCTGGAACCCCTTAAACCCTGCGTGTGCCAACACAACAGCGCCCCATTAAAGCGGAACAGAGGCAGCCCAGCGCATCCTTTTCTCCGACGATCGCGAAACCCGCAAGCAAGCTCTAAGGCGCTGGTTCAAGGATTTTTGGACTCTCGGTTTCGCAGTGTTGGATGTTCTACCTCAAAGGTTCCATGCATTTAAAAAATCATATAATGTACAAGGCCGAATACTGACCTACATTGCTACCAATTACCCCAGAATCGGATACCTATGAAGTGATCTTCAAGGTTCGCTTCAATCACCAGAATGGTGTAAAGATGTGTGACGTACACAATGCGCTTTGTCTGGTTATGACAATCAACCTGAAGTTCATTTCCTGAACGCCTACATACGTAATTTCCCAGGCGGAGCTAGACGGTCAGGCTAGTAGCTTCGCGGTGAAGAGCTAAGGGTATTATAAGTCATAAGGGGGCCTTTTGTTGGTAGTTTTCCAAATTAGGGTCCCTTTTAGGGTCCTTTTTATAACGGTGCCGTACTATATTGGGGACCTAAAAGGGGACCCTAATTTAGAGAACTGCCCATGTGGGGTTTTCTTCTCAGTCAGGATTCCCTGTTGTCAACTCGGGAGGCTCCTTGCTCAGGCAGCTCAGGTACCCAAGATGATGCAAGTCATGCCGGCGAACTGGACCTTGGCATGGGTTAATGGGATTCAGGGTTTAGGGTTCAGGGTTTAGGGGGATTTCTGCAGCTGGCGGTTTAGTCGGTTCTGGGTTGGGGGTGTCGGTTTCAGGTTTGATTTTTCGTTCCCACCTAGCTCACTGGAAACCGTATTGTCCAAGTATGAAGACCTCCATAAACTCAGGGAAGTCTGCTTCAGCACCTTATGAGAACCTATCTAGAACCGTTCGAGGAACCGTGTCACTTCTCTAATTCTTAAGACCACGATTCTGAGTATCTCTTACAGTAGGTCGACGCGCCTCAATTTAATTTCCCCGGGGGTGTGGGGAGCGTGGGGAGGGGGGCTGGGGTGGATGACGTCGGTGCTAACGGCGACCATGCCCAAAACACTGGTATTGTCACCGTTCTTGCCACTTATGAACATTGACGCACTGTCACAAGCATTCATGCCCAGCAGGCATGAGAAACATCCTATATTCATAAGTGCCATGCCTGCCACACGTGAAACAGGCATAATCACGAGTGAAAAAGGCGCGTCAACCTTGTAGTATCCTTTCCAGCAAACAAGCAAAAGCGCGACCTATATGAGTATGCAGTCAGCCTCCTTTGATGGTACCTATAGTCTCCATTGTAGTTCCTTTTGGGGGATACCTTATAAAATCCTTAGTATATAATTGGTTAAACCAAAAACAAGGAACTACAATGGAGACTATAGGTAACCCTTATTCTAGTAGAATGAACTTTAAAGTAGCCTTAGCAGCCCCGGCTCTGAGCCCCCACATTAAACCCTAAACACTAAACCCCCTAGTAAGTAAGGGTGAGTCTATGGAACCTGGAAAAGGTACTAGAGGCGACGATAGGGTTCCATAATCGGTCCCCTTCGAGGCTACTATACCATACTAGGGTCCCCTTTATAGGGCTCGGGGCCGTAATAACTAGAAGAGGAATTAGGGGGACGTCATCTGCGAATGATGGCCAATTACCGGCAACTACTCCGACCCCTGCGTGACCTTCCACGAGGTAGTAGGTACTTCGGACCCGTTTTTTTGAAGGCAGGCTGTGTCGGGCCCAGGTGAACTCTAAAGGCCGAAAGGACACACTGACATACTCGTCCCCAAACCCGAGACCCTAAACCCCGAACTTTATCAGTAGTTCTCTAAATCAGGGTCCCTTTTAGGTCCCCAATATAGTACGAGACCCTTATAGAAAGAATTTTTTCCAAAGGGACCCTAATTTAGCGAACTACCCCTATAAACACCAAACCCCGAGCATTAAACCGAGAGAAGGAGCAAAGCATGAGCAGGCAAACCAGCGCAACTGGCCCCGCTCCTGCAAGCTGGCGGCCGCGGTTGAGCGGGTTTGTCGTTTTGTCTTGGGCATGGGCATAGAGCGTCGAGGTTAAACTATGGTTTGCTTCCAGCACTTTCACGTCTATGATCCGCGTGTAAGCTTATGGTGGTTTCGGGGTGCGTTTTTTGGAACACAGGGTTGGGTTTTGGCGTATGGCGATCAGCGGTTTTGGGCGGGTTGGCGGTTTGGGCTTCGGGTTTTGGGCCGCCGCTCTGAGCCGCAGCGCATGACCGGCTCAACACCATACGGTTTACTCAGCAAGCTCAACCCCATGGATCCCTGAACCAGAACCTGACATTCGGTTCATGGTGATCCAAGGGTATTGCAGAGGATTCCTGGTTTGAAGGGGTTTTGGGCTCTCTGGGTGGGGTCAGGGTTTAGGATCCAAACCTATAACCACCGCGTACGCCTAGAGAACCACACGCGGCACCGAAATCAATGAATCTCATCATTGGGCTTTTAGGTGTTGCGATTGCAGGCTGTAGCTTGATGGTTTGCAGGGCGGTGTATCTATGTATGTATGTATGTATGTATGTATGTATGTATGTAGGTATGCATGTATGTATGTTTTGTATGGCTTAAGGTTTGCCAGCCTCATCAAAGACGAACAAAGCTAAAGTCGAGAAGCTGCGGTCCTTGATCTCTTGGAAGACAAAGACGGAGATCAACTGCGACACGAGCACAGGACCTGGCGTGGTCTTTCATCATCCGCCACGCAATCTCTAAGTATGACAGAGGCCGATACCGACCAAATATGCCTTGGTTCTACATAGAGTATGGAGCTTTCTTGGTACATCATCGCATCGGCTGGTCGGAACTTCAGGACCTCGCGCCGTCTCATGAATGGCTGCCTGGCTAGCCTACCTGGTTTAAGCGCCGATTCTGGCTGAACCACGAACCAGGCATTGTCCATAATGCCGATGTGAGGCCTTCAGCCACCGTAAGGCAAGCTTCTGACACTTGCATCCTACTGTACTATCTTCGAAGGTTGCTTCCTTACAGTTCGGACATGCCACGAAGACTGTCTGACGAAATGGTTTCGAGGTTACGGGCTCGGAATCCCAACCTCGAAAACCGTACCCTAGGATAGTCGGGTAGGTGATACCCAACAATGCAGGCACATTCAAGGGGTCGGCACAAATCATTACCAACAGCATCCGTTGGTTTAGCATACACCGCAAACCCTGTTCCGAATGGTTAAGGCCCCTATAGAAGATGGAGGCTCAGGCTCGCACCGATGACGCTGAGCATGTACGTGGCAGTATAGCGGATGTCATCCAGCCTTGTTTCGGATCCGACGAAATCAGGCTACAGGGTCAAGTCAAGGTTCGCGGATCCGGGCTTAGGGTAAAGGTGCATCATCGGTCCTAGACGCTTGCCGGCTGGTCCAGACTTGGGTGCAGTGATCGAGATACCGGCAGGAGGTCTAAGAACACCAGCACTGGCCCAAGAACACAGCGCCGAGGCTTCCAGGGACTTGGGCTGGGCCCCGGAGCCCGAAAGCCCTCAACTCCGACTCCCAGTAGCAAGCCTAGAAGTCTTTGTTCGGGTTTTGGGTTTAGGAACCCATACTTTGGGTTTTGTCGGGGGGGTCTCAACCTGAACATATGAAGCCCGAAGCCCGGAACAGTGGTTGAGCTCGGTATACAGTGACCCATTTAAGGGCTTATAAGGCAAAAGCACTCATATGTGCCCCATACCAGCTACACAAGTCTATACCCCGAAAACACGCGCACGCACAGCTGCCATGAGCCCCAGACGACTTTGCAAAGCAGGCGAACCCAGCAGCCCAAAGACCTTGCGCTTCTTGGGAGCCCTATAAACCAGGAGCTCAGGCCTTAAACGCTAGAGCTTAGGCCCCAAACCCCAGAGCTTAGGGCCTGAAGCCTAGAGCATAAGCCCTATAAGCCCTAGAGCTTAAGCCCCAAACCAGAAATCCTACACCCTGCGCCGAAAATCCGAAGCCAGCCCCCAGGGGGGACAACGACAATGCACAGGGGCGCTGTTTTTCAAATCCTTCCTTTGGACCCTGTGTCTCTCAGGAGGGATGGCGAGGGTGTTGTAAAGAACCTTCGACCAAGGCCTGAAATCGAAAGCTGAAAAATGACCTAAAAGCCCGAGAGCCTAAAACAACCTAAAGTACATAAAGACCCTAAAGCCCCTCGTTTGTGACAGGGCCTGGCCAGTCTTTATAAAGCTACCACGCTGGAAGGCACTGGGCAGATGAAGCTGCACCTACCCCCACATGGAGCTAAGATGATCGGAATACCAATCCCGAACCCCAAACCCCCAAATCCCATAAACCCCTAAAGCCCTAACCCCTTCCTGCGACCCCAAAAAGCCGGAACCCAAGCCTCAGAAGCTCTACCAAACCGGCCGAGAAGACTGAAACGAATTGTACCATCCCCGAACACCCGAGATAGCAAGACCCAGAAACCCCAAACTGTGATACAGTGATACCCTTCTAAGATCGAGGTCGGTCAGAGGTTCCCACAAAGGCCCCCGCTGCTTCCCCTCCCTCCTTACCCAGCCATCCAACCCCCAAGACCACACTCGCTGGACCGGACCGAGCGGACGACACGTATAGCTTTTACAACTGAATCCTAACTCCATGAACCCTAAATCCTGAAACGATCCTGAATCTTGAAACGATCCTGAATCTTCGAGCTTATCTTGCCAACTCGAAATGCATGAAACCCCGAAATGTTGAAGACTGACTTCCGAAGGGCCAAACCTGAAGAACAGCAGCTTTCTGTCGGGGTCTGTATGATCAGGGCACTTCGGGCTTTCAGGGTTTACTGTAGCGCTTATAGAGGCTATAGTTGCGCACCCCTGAGTCCAGAGTCCCGAGTGCCCTGCACCCAGAGAGAAAAGCCGGGCGGATGCTCGGCTTCGCCGGCGAGCGGAGGTGCAACATCTGCAGTTGGGCTTTGGGAGAAAATATGGGGAATCAGGCTTAGGTTTTACCTACGCAGATGTACCGTTTTTGTTTGCAGCCGCTAGTTTTTCCCTCTTTCATAAAGGACTGGGATTGAGGGTCTGATAAGACTCGCGGTTTTGGGTCTCAGGCTCAGTGGGGCTATTGAAGGCGAAAGGCGAGGTTCAGGGCGCAGCTCAAGGTTTGGGTTTAGGGTTTAGGGTTTAGGGCGTAGCTCAAGGTTTGTAAGGTTTCGAAGTTTGAAGAGTTGCGGCAGTCTGGGATTATGTGGGGAACCGATACGAAGTAGAGTGTTCACACGGTGTTACATATAGGACTCCGGTTCGGAGAGTGATGATCATGAGTCATAAAGCCATTACGCCGGGTCTGATGCAACGGGGAATCAGAATTCTAGGTTCCAGGACCCTGAGCCCCACTTCAATGTCTTGGGCTTGTGCCCGGACCTTTTCCTGGAGAGTATAAGGTCGGTGCTCAGCCTCTGGCATTTTAGCTCCAGGGTTTGCTTTGCATAGGAAATAAGGTAATTTGACTGAGGGGTTACATCCAGGCTGTGTCAGAGCTCTGTCAGAGATAAGTTCCTTTTCAACTTCTGCTCTGTGCTCATCTGAATAGTTTCGTTGCGTCCGCAACTTTCACGGAACTCAGACAGGGCCTGGCCGACATGGTTGAGGATCGTGTAAAAATTGGATCTCTGTGGTGATTCTTGGGACAGATGCTCTGCAAGGAGGCGTAGCCCACGTTTTCGACATAACACAGGCTGCAAGAAAATGCCCAGCAACTTGGAGGACGAGACAACTTTGGAAGTAAGTCATAAATGGGTGTGACAGTGTCTTGAACCGTGGGCAAACAGTCATGAAGCCATTACGCCGGGTCTGATGCAACGGGGGATCAGAATTCTAGGTTCCAGGACCCTAAGCCCCACTTCAATGTCTTGGGCTTGTGCCCCGACCTTTTCCTAAGAAGGCCCTGAGGATAGATGTGACGCCCCAGACAGTACATAAAACATTAAAGCATTAAGCCCTACCTTAAGAACCCAAAACCTACTTTTTTGTAGGGTCCCTATAAATCCCATATTAGGGTTTATACTAAGAACCTACAAAAAAGTGGGTTTGGGGGTTCTAAGCCCTGAGCCCGGGCCTTCTTGCACGAGGTGTAGCCGAGGTAGATTACAGTGCTGGAGGCCCACACCTCGCCGTCGCATGACTTTGAGGCTTTGTGCCCCCAAAACCCAATTTGGCCATGGGTTTCTAAGCTATTTATAACCAGTACCCGCATAATAAGTCAGAGTTCTACTCGCGCCAACTCGCCAATATTGAAAAGGAGCCCTGTATCCAGTCTTCAAAAACCCCCTAAGATAATCCCTACTTCACATGGGAAGTAAGAGATTCCGATTTGGGGATTCGGATTTAGGGATCAGGGTTTCGGTTTTGAACCCTCAGTTCTGACTGCAGAGCTTGGGGCGTTATACGCCACAAGCACCTGCGGATCCTCACCAAACAGAAGTCCAAAAGGCTTCTTTAGCCACCTAAACCCCCCCAAGGGATGTAAAGCAGTGGCCCAGTACCTATAAAGGGCTATTATGCTACATACTTGTGGTGTCCAGGTAGGAGTTGTAAACCTGAAACAAGTCGACTCGAAACTCTGCAGACAACAGGCACAATCCTACACCCTCCCTAAACCCTAAACCCTTTAACCCCCAATCCCTAAACCGTTATCAATCATGAGGCCACAGGCACGTGCAACAAAAACTCGGCGCCGAGGGGCTGAAGGGTTGGAGAACCAAGGTTCAGGACTTCGGTTGGACGATCATATGGTGTGTATATATATATATATGTAAAGGGTTTAGGGTTTAGGGTCATATATATATATATATAGATACATCCTAATATGTATATAGAAAAAGCTTAGCACTTGGGGTGAGGGCCGAGGTTTTTCACATCTCGGGTTGGGGATCAGATTTAGAATTTTACCTACCAAGCTTGGCAGGGCCAGTACTAAGGACCATGAGGCCCGCTCTAGAGGTAGTCCGGGTATGGCTTGGGATGTGGGAGAATTTCAATGTCCCTAGGTGTTTAGCAGTCTTATCATCGCGTCAAGACCCGTAAGCCCTAGACTAGACCCGGTCTTTCGCAGTAGCAGAGTCCTGACAAAAAGGACCTCTGAACAAGGTACGTCTCAAGCTAAAAACCTTTAAACTTCAAACCCTGTAAGATCACCAAGTTGACAATGAGAGCCCTGGAAATTCGGTGTTGATTTTCGAAAAGCACTCCCCAAAAGAAACTTAAAACGCACATGCTGAGATCGCTGCGCCCAGGGCCATCGGGAAGACGAAGCAGGCAGACTGCGCAAGCAACGGCCATTCACAGGGAATGGAGCATATGGAAAATTCAATTGTGGCAAATTGAAAGCTTGTGGAACGATACCGGTGCTCTCTAATATCACACCTCAACCGCAGCCCCAAAACCCTAAATCTCTGTGCACAGGCCTGGGTGTTGGGATGGTTGCGGTGCCACATCGCAAAAGGCCTGGAAGTTGAGCTAAAAGGCTTCGGATCTTGGGAGTTGCGGAACCATTACGGGTGGAGGGCTATCGACGACGACGCGACACCATTTCCCCCAAAAAAAACGTATCGATCAACAACAGCAATGCTACTTATCATTCTTGTAATGAAACATGTATCACGGCCCGTGTGGAAGTTTGCACATGACCTTCGTGCCGCGTGATGCTTTCGTCGTCCAACATGGGCTTGGGAAGCCGTGGCCTGTCAGCCTTCGTTGCGTCTGAGCCCACGGCACAGGGCTCAGGCCACGACCTTTGCTTGCAATGTCGGCAGAAGACTCGGGGTGTAGGATAGGGTACAGGCTTTGGCTTTGGGCTGTCGGGGGGTTCGCATTTCGTTATGGGGTGCGGGGTATGAAGTATGAAGGGCTCCGGGTTCAGAGGACAGGGTCAGGCTATTAGGATGGAAAGCAGCAGGGCTGGCAAATCATGACCCGTTCTGCAAGGACTTTATAAAGCCTAGGTATACTCCAAAACCCTGAAATCCAACAAACGCCGTAAACCTTAGACCGGGTGTTGGGGTTTAGGGTTTCCCGTGTCAGAAATTGCTGCACAAGTACCTGCCGCACGGCGTTAAACCCAAAGTTTCAGTACAATAGGGGTTTCAAAGTAACAAAAGACTCCCTGTGTAATTGCAATCTTTACTTAAAGCGTAATCCACCAAGATCTTGTTCTATTCATTAATACCCCTCTCAAAACAAGTCGCTGGGTCTCCTATACTACAGAGCCTTTAGATTCAGGCCCCTATGCCCCTACAGAGCTAGGGTCCCTGGCAACTTGAATGACTATTAACATTCGGGATGGTATGTATATCATACCTACGATAAGGAACCTCGCTGGAGGTGAAGCAATACTACTAAACTCCTAAACCCCAAACCCCTAATTTTCGGGCTTCTGTTTGAGGCAAGTGGCATACCCCAGCAGCCACGGCCAAGATGCCGCCGAGGCCGCGAAGAATCGGACTTGGCTTTGTCTGAGAGACCTTCCGAGATCCCTACAAGGACTTCGGGTTTCTTTCTCTAGGGTTTAGGGTTTAGGCTTTAGGGTTTCGTGTCTAGGGTTTTGGGGTGTAGACTCTAGAATTTAAGGTCTAGGATTTAAGGTTCGAAGCTCCATAGGGGCTTTGTAAAGACAACACAGGGGCCTCAACATTGGCGGGGTATGCTATGATTATAGTACAACTACAAAGAATTGGGGGAACCCTATAAGGAATAACCCTACACCCTAAACCCTCAACCGCGCATTTTCTACTTCTTCAGGCTTCTATGTCATTCGGGTCGGATCCTCAACCCGGCCCCACCTGACTGGCAAGGTCCTCTGGCTGTGTGGCAAGGTCCGTCGTGTCAACAGCCTGCGATCCGGAAGCTGCGGAATAGACACGTTTAAAGGTTTAGGGTTTAGGGTTTAGGGCTTCGGCTAAGTCTGCTAAGTATTGGGATTTCGACTTTTCGGATTCCGCCGAGATTGCAGGCTTGAGTTTTGAATTTCCGAGATGTCCGCACAAAGCCCATATCCGCGGACACGTTTGAAAGCCCAAGACCCTAAACCCTAAACCCCTAAACCCTAAACCCTGAACCCTAAACCCTAAACCCTAAACCCTAAGCAGCTCATGGTCTCGGCTGATGCCTGGAGGCTTTGGGGGAGTTTCGACACGGCTGCAAGGAGAACGGCGCGATTCAATGTAGGGGCCTTCATATTTCGAATAGGCTTTTGGGGTATGTTATACTATAATCATAACAACGAGCCAAGATAATGTGGGTAACTATTGAGGCCCTTACATTACTCTGTGAGTGCCCCAGCCTCTAGACCCCGGATCCTACAGACATCTACAGACCTTGGCATGACAACCCCGGAAATCCAAGGCGCCTTCGATCTTCAGAGAGGAATCGACCCTAAACTAAAAATACCGAAACCCATATTTTACAAGGGACTCGACTGATGCTTCCTAGATTTAGGGTGTTTCCGTTCTGTTTTGTTTAGGGTTTAGGGGGTTTAGGGTTTACGCTGAAGTCCCCCTAAACCCTAACTCCTACGCCCAGCATCTCCCTCAGGGCATTCGGTCGGGATCCGAAGGCCTTGATATGCTCTTAGTAAGTAGGTAATAAGTAGAGTTATAAGTACCCTAAAAGGGATCCCAATTGGGGTTATGGTACTTATAAGTCTGTACAATAACTAGTCATAAGGTTGTGGGCTTAGGGCTCAGGGTTTCGGCTGACTAAACCTCTACACCTGAAGCCCTAGAAACCCCAAATTCGGGGTGTTTACATTGGTTTACCATGCATCACTCCGAAAAGCTAGCTAACGTAAAGGCCTGAATAGTTGCACTAGGGTTGTGGGGTATAGTATTCTAGCAAAAAAGTAAGGAGAAGCCGTGAGGGAACAGAACTGCCGATTCAAGGCCTCTGTATTATGTGCGTGCGGAAGACATGCCCGGCTCTGGAAGCACTTGGCACACCTCGCTTCCACCGTTCTGGTAGCATAAACTTAAAAGGCCAAAGGCCATAATCTAAAGCTTGCGCACGTCCTAACATCCCAAACGCAGTCAGCGTTGAATTCATTGTGGAGTCTACGCAGGACCCGAGCTTGCAGCGGGCCATTGCCAGTTGTTTGATTGACAGGCACTAAACTTCAACGTAAGGGCTTTACCGACCTGGCCTCTGAGAGCACTTCGGCTTGGATCAAAAACCCATGAACACTCAAACCCTAAACCCTCAAACCCTAAACCCTTAAACTCTAAGCCTTATAAACCCTAAACCTTACCCTTAAGCTCTAAACCCTAAACCTTAAAGTCTTAAACCCTTAAATTCTATACCCTCTTACCCTCGAACCTACTATAGTCCCTAAGCCCCTGAAAGCCCCCCGGGAGTCCGAGGAGCCTCGGGTAGGTCCTCGCCGAACTCCGAGCTGCCTACAGGTCGGAACTATGAAACACGTTGAGGGTTCAGGGCTTTGGGGGTTCAGGGTTTAGGGTTTAGAGGGGTTCAGGGGTTTCGGGTTTGGGGGTTAGGGTGGTGTAGGGGTTTAGGGTTCTGGGTTTAGGGTTGCGTTGTATTGCGAGGCCTTAACAAGTTAGATTCGAAAAGAGATTTCGCGTGTTTTGATCAGAGGTTTACATGCAGAAAGGCCTGGGGGAGGATTTCGGCATAATCATATTTGGGAACCGAAACGGATACTACTATTGACATATTTTTTTGCGGCATATGGAGCTTTGTGTTTCGGCGTGTGATGACAGGTCAAGGGAACCTACTTGTGATGTCTTTCGGGCCAATTCGGAACGACATGTATTGTCTCTTGCTGCTTTAGGGACAGAGGCCAGGGGAGTGGATCATTCACGCAGGGTCGGTCCTTTTGCTTTAGCAGTGATCGCTGCACTTCCAAGAAGCAAGATTAGGGTCATAATGAGTACAATACTTACATGTGTGCTCTCCTGGACCTCCATGTACTCCATCACTCCTAGATTCTGTTCAGGCCTGAAGCCGGAAAGCCAAGACTACATCGTAACACTCTTGACAACACAAGAACGAACGTCATAAGTGTCGAACTGTTGACCGTACCTACCCCAAACTCAGAACCACACTCACCCTAAAGCTACGAGTGGAAACATCACTGATGTTGGGCTTCGGCACATGTCAAAAGCCCCAGACCAATCAGCCCCTAAACCCGATACAAATACAAAGGCAATGATGTCCCCATCTAGTTTTTCCGCCTGCGTATGCGATACTATACCCCTACACCCTAGGCCCCAATCACTGGTTTCACAACATTGGAAAAGCCACTATCCCTTTTTGCTACCTGCTGGACTCAAGTCTATAGCTAGCCAGACCACGACCTGCAATCATCTTGAGGCCGACACGCAAGCACCGATACCGAAGTTCTATGTAACTCCTACCTGGACCCTTAAGAACCTCCCTGTTTAGGGTTCCTCATTATGATCTCCTTATATAAGTCCTTAGAAAGGTAGGTTCTTTGGGTTCTATTTAAACCCTATAAACCCTCAGCCCCCCAAGCCCAACCTGATGCCAGGCTCGTCGCAGACAGGCGGGGCGGCTCTCCCAGGCCTCCAGCGCGTGCTTTAGGGTTTACGGTTTAGGCTTTAAGGGCTAAGGGTTTAGGGTTTAGGGCCTCCAGCGCGTGTTTTAGGGTTTACGGCCGTTTAGGGTCGCTAAGGGTACTTCGAATGGAAGGAACGGAGTGGTGCACGTTTTGAGGTCTCAAAAACCAACCCGCTGCTAGACATCAAAACCCTGAGTCCTGAACCAGACATAGGAGTTGAGGACAGGGATCGCCAAAAGATCCCTGCGTAAGTTCGACGTAGGGGTTCTCAGGGTTTGTGTCTGTTGTGCTCGGTGGCTTCTGGGTGCCGAGGCTCATCAACCAAGATCCTGAAGCCTATAAGCTGTAAATCCTCAGCCCTGACCCTCACAGCTTTATCTCCTAGACCAGGAGCCCAGAAGCCTTACAATTCAACAAGACCCTAGAGGTAAACACAATTACAAAGACATCATAACCTCCTTGATAAACGGAGTTGCAGCAGCCTACCCCAAAAAAACAAAACCGAAGCCGCGAGCGGCGGCGAGCGGTTGTTGAAAAAATAACAGCTTTCATAAAACAAGAAGCGAACTTTTTAGAACCACAATCCGAAACCGCCTTTGTTTGCATACGAGCTTGGGGTGTCGGCCGCAACCCCTGGTTCTCACAAATACGTGCAGATCCCAAAAGCCATGCGACGAAATCCGATAAACCGCCCTCAACCCCAAACCCCTGAAACCTTTGTTGCAGCCCTAAAATCATAAACCGCTGAACCCTAAACCCCGAACCTTCAATCCTGAAGCGGCCTGAAAAACTCCCGAGGCTGTCAGAGCCTTTCATCGGCGGCCAACTCCTCCAGATTTATTCACAGTTGGTTGTTTGCGGGGAGATAAAAAAGCAAGATCAGTTAACTCTAATTTATTGTTTGTTATCTTTTCTATAGATTTATATCATGTTTATTACGGTTTACATGTTGGAAAACAAATTCATGGTAAATTGCTGGCAGTGCTTTTAAAACCCTGTTGACACTCCCGCTATCTCCACTTCTTGCTCTTTTATAGTGTTAATTATTTGCTATTTCATTTTATCTGTTTTTCGCTGTGGACAATCGGTGCTTCTTCACCGCATTGGTGCAGCTATCTTTTCTGAGTCTCTTCTAAGTCTCTTATATCTTGCCATCTTGCGTCGAAGATAGTATCTCTGGATTGAGATAACAACGAGTTGCACCATGCCTAAGTCACTAATAAACGGATTAGGACCTAGATGCTATCTCACCTTTCTCACCTATCTTCAAACAACCAACTGTGTAGGGTTTAGGATTTAGGGTTTAGGGGTTCAAGGATCCTTGCAGGGCTCATTTTGTTTAAGGGTTCCGTTGTTGAAGGGTTCCTTCAAGGGACTCTAAGTGTAACTGTACAGGAACTATAGATCCTCCAATCCCTAGAGCTCGGTATTGAAAGAGTTCAGGCTTGAGGGCCTGGGTGGGCAGGTGGTGATCTGCGGATTTTTCGAGGTTGCTGGGTGCTGCTGTGGAGGTGATATGAGGGCGTGCTTGACGGCGCAGGTTACCCAGAGTTTACCGAGAGACTAGCAGCTAGAGGCATGGCCCTGCTCCAAGAGCACTGGTGTTAGGGTTTAGGGTTTAGGGTTTAGGATCCTCTAGGTATGGGTAAGGGCCCGACAAGCTAGAGTCTCTGTCAAGCAAACCTGAAAACCTAGGCTTAACGCCTACCCTCACCCTTTTCGAACCCGAACCATAAAACTGCAAAAGCCCTACACCCAGTGTGGTGCCTTGGTTCGCAACGCAAGGCACTCTGGCCCCGAAGCCCTAAGCCAAAACCGGACAGGCCTCCTTCGCTGGAGTGTCTCGCTCGTCTCTGCCTGAAACGGAGACCAGCTGCAACCCTAAACCCTATAAACCCTAAAACCCTTGTTCAGCATGGGCAACCCTAAAACCCTAAACCCTAAACCCTAAAACCCTACAACCCAAAACCCTAAAACCCTCAACCCTAAACCCCAAAACCCCTAAAACCCTAAACCCCTAAAGCCCTAAAACCCTAAACGCCCCGGGGTTTCACTTTCAGGTTCAGGGCCGAGGCCTCGGGCTCGTATTCCTCCTGGGCATTTTGAGGTCTGAAAGCCTAGGCTTCCAGGGACCTTATTATTGGGTCCTTAAGGGGTCCAGGGCCCTAACTATAAGGGCCTAGGGAAAGCCACATCTAAACACCTAAAGGCGAAAGCGTCAAGGCCGAAGCCGTGACCCTTCACTCCCAAATTGAGGGCTTCAGGGTTTTAGGGTTTGGGGTTTTAGGGGTTTAGGGCTTTAGGGGTTTAGGGTTTTTCGGGCTTTTGGCTTTAGGGCACTGCAAATCCAAGTCCGAAGCTGCAACAGAACCCCAGAAGCCCACTTACCTACACCATGGGCTGCTGTTCCTGGAACCCTGTAATTTTTATGAGTTTTCATAGCACCCAGCCACTTTCCAGACATATATATATATATATATAGCCCGAGGAGAGCCTATAAAAAACCTTCTGAAACTTACTGTTGCGCTTTCTCGGGCCTCTTCTTCCTCCAGCCCCTGCAGGGTGAAAATCGCCTCAAGCGTCTTGCGCTTCAGATCTTACAGTAGCTTTCGGGTTTACAGGATTTCGGCGTTAAGGTTTAGGCTTCGCGCTTGGGGTTGTGGTCTCGGGTCTAGGGTTTTCTGGTAGGCGATCTCTCAAGCTTCCAAAAAGGCATCTGACAACACAACCGCAGGGAGTTTAGGATTTAGTTTGGGGCTTCGGTCAAGGTCGTCCTCCACCCTGTCCCAGAGTGAGAAAGAGGAGGCCACGGGCCCAACACCCGGCGTCTCTTTCCCCTTGCCCTACTCTTGGGCACCTCTCCCAAACCCCATTCAAAGCATGAATGCCTATCTAGTTTACCAAAGATCGTGTACCCCACAAATGGTACATACCAAATTGAATCCACACAGGTCCTCACAGCGAACTTGCAACGCACGATCTACAGTCTATGATTCTATGAAGCCTTATAAAACATTAGATAGCTTCGTAGTTTCAACATCTCGGTTTTGGTACAAGACTTCCGTCCACCCGGCATTCAGACCTTTGACACTGATGTACGAAATCCGCCCACCCCTTATTCAGACTTTTTACAATTCATCTACGACATCCGTCCACCCCTGCTGACGTTCCAATGCCAGCCAAAGGTCTCGAGCGCGCGCTCCCATGGAAGATCTCCTGCAGTCTTAGAGTACCCCAAGGCTCCATGGACCTATGCAGTCTCTGGCCTTCAAATACCTTTTTGCGGCCCCTTTTAAGGCCTATGAACATGCCATAGGGGTACGGTCGAGCTTTATATTAAGAAATCTTTTTAAACAAGAAATGAGACTCTGGTTGCCGCAACAATAAATTATTTGAGACTCTGAATGCCCCAAAAATATTTTATTTGAGACCCTAAGTCGGAGGCCAGCAGGGGCAGGAGTTCCAAAACCACCAAAAAGTCGCTTTTGAAAGGCGCGGGAAGCTCAAAGTTTTGGAACTGGTCAGGGCAGAGGCAGGGCAGGGGCAGCAGCAGGCAGGAGTTCCAAAACCACCAAAAAATCGCGTTTTAAAGGCGCGGGCAGCTCAAAATGGTGGTTTTGGAACTGGTCAGGGCAGGGGCAGGGCAGGGGCAGCAGCAGGGCAGCAGCACGGGCAGCAGCAGGGGCAGCAGCAGCGGCAGCAGCACAGGCAGCAGCAGGGGCAGCAGCAGGGGCTGATCTGGAGTGCAATTAAGAAATGTACACCAGACTCTCGGGAGGGAAGTATATTTCTTATTCGACCTGTTCTGTTAAGAAAGTTCCCAGACCCTGGAACAGCAACGTAGTTTTCTTAACATAAAGTTTGCCCGTAGGGGCCAACAACTCAAGGGGGGTTTAATGGCTAATTTTTGTCGAAAAATGTAAATGGAACCTTCAGAAACGTCTCCGGAAGCTTTCTTAAGAAGTTGTAAGATTCGAAAGTTTTTGGTGAGAGGACATAGCGCGAACGTAGGAATTAGAAGCGCAAGTATATGGCTTGAGTTTCAAGCCTAGGGAGTATCGATCTCAACCTTAAACCCCACTTCACACCCTAAAGCCTGACAGTCTTAATGTTATCGGGCAGACTCATGCTGGACGAAAGCCCAAGCGCCCCTAATAAAGCCTATAGGCTCCTGGGTTCCTCGGAAGGCTAGCATATCAACTAGACCACGAGTAATATGTGAGTTTCCGAAAATAAGGGGTACCATATTTTGCGGTCCTTATAATAAGGATCCTATTATTTAGGGTGCTATATTAGGGTCCTCTATTTTCGGAAACCCCCATATCAACCCTGTCATTTAGGGTCTTCCAATAGAATCCCTGTTACGATCCCCTGCCAGGGGTTGTATGAATCAGCGGGCTAGCTACCCATATATTGTAAAGAGCATTCCAAGACAGATACCTTATTCAGGCACCTACCCATCTTGCTTCCAGATGCAGTGTCCAGCGTATGTCATAACATTACATGTTGCGCTTGGGTTTAAGGTTTGGGGCCTCAGGGCCTTCCCACCACGCCCCCAAGGAAACCAACCACAAGAAAGACTTATATAAAAGCCAGGGCCACATAACCCAACCATGCAAAACCCTAAACTCCAGAACTCAAAACCCACACCCAAGTCATCAAGCTGCCAAAATCTAAGCTCAAAATCGACTTCGGGAATTCCGGAGCAGTGGCCCAGGATGTTGAGGGAGTAGGGCTGAACGGTTCTCGGGCTCAGTGCTAGGGTTTAGTAAGTTTTGTAGGGCTCGGGGTTTAGGGGTTCATAGTGGTTTAGGGTCTACAGGGCTTGCAGCACAAGATTCATCAAAACAATCCCTTCGTAAACAGTAAGCCCCACAACGGAGTGGGAAGGCCTTCTTCCCAGTTGCTCGCTTGCAGCGCGGCTCAAACCTCAGTAGACACCCGAAACAGTGCTTCTATGGATGATAATATACCGTCCAGTATTAAAGTTTGGTCTTTTGCGGACTGCCGCTTCGAAACTTTGCGAACATGCCACCATGTAGGGTTACACGTCTTGTAAAGCTTTGCAGGCCTACACACCTTTACCTTTACCGCGAAGCCCGGCGGCCTTGGATGCCCATCTTCCCCGAGACCCGCACTGCCATGAACCCCAGGGCCCAAAAACCGAAGTCCCTAAACCCTAAAAAATAGCCTACCTATCGTCTCCATTGCAGTTCCTTTATTTGGTTTATGCAATTATATATGAAGGATTGTATAAGGTATCCCCAAAAAGGAACTACAATGGAGACTATAGGTAGAGCATCTTCTAGAGCCCCGCAGCCCAAAGCCCCCAACGAACAAAAAGAAACGCACGTATACTTTCAACGCCCAAAACTTCTGGAACACCCTATAACCGGTACCTACAGGAAAGAAACACTCAATCTGCATCGCAACAATTCAACCCCAAGACCTCGCTACCAGCCACTTTACCACCCCATAAACCTTTAAACCCATAATTAAACCCCTAAACCCCTAAAGCCAATAAGGGCATGGATTTATGGGTTTATGCCGCTGCTGCAGTGCTGCTTGCATCTACTCAAAACACCATATACCCGGGCCCATTAAACTAAAAACAAACAGACCTTTTTGGAACCCGGAGCTCTCTCTCCAATCAGCCGGGAGCAATAAAACAAACAACCCTAAACCCTAAACTCTAAACCCAAAACCCAAAACCCAAAACCGCAAACAACAGCGAACTCGGCTGTGCATTAAGTGCCAAGCCAGGCTGTGAGACGGACCTGGACCTGAAAGGCTGGGCTTCCTGTGGATGTCCCAGTCATGCCCATACATGTTATATCAGTTATACATATACATATATATGTTATATATACATATGTGTATGTAAGCATGCATGTATGTTCTTTGTGAATGTGGGTTGGGGTCTATGGCCTCGGGTTGTATAGACACATATGCTTATTCGTTGAAGGTTCTTATAGGCTTTGATGAGGCTTTGGGCCATTCGTCTACCACATGAGTGTTGGAGGCTTCATACAGCTTGAGGGCTTCCTTCGGGGTTTAGTTAATCATGGGTATTCAGTTTGTCATAGGGTGTACGATGCCTTGCAGGGTATTCAAGCCCCTGCCGCCCAAAACACTGAAGACTGTCTAGAGTCTAGATAGCCGCTGGTTTGTATACTAGCTCCGGGCTGGGCAGCGGGAATATCCAGATCAAATGCTCGGATTTTAGCAGGACTTGGGTGGTTTGTTCAGGGATCACCCCCGAAATTGAAATCTTAACACTCACACATACACACACACAGAGACGCCCTCAATCCTAAATGGGAGATGCGGAAAGCAGGTTCTCCAGTACCCAAACTCCACATGGCAGGATCCCGCAATTCTACAACGGACCCCTCAGCGTTGAAGAAACCCAATACTCACAAATGTTGAGCCCTAATCCCCCAGATCTGAACCCCAAAGCCCCCTCCAACCTTAGCTCGTGGATCCGTAAGTAGAGGTCATCGGCGTTCGACTCAGACATGACGAACCTCGGCAGTTCATCTTGTGGAGGAAGCTCGGGCACAGCTGCACAAGCACGATGACAGGATCTGCAATCTGCACGCGCCTCACAATGAGAGCCGTTCTGATATTTTCTCTCTTAACTAAAATGCAGAAACCCAATAAGGGTAGCGGCTCGCTTGGGGGAGGACCCAACTCAATTGATCTCAACTGACAGGGAAGCGGTCAAACATTCTTTCAGCACTCCAGCACTTGCGAGTGCCTCAACCCCTCAGCATGACTGGAAATACAAAAACCCGGAGGACCAGACTTTAAGATCCAGCCTGATCCCTCAAGTCCTCAAGCCTAGATGCCCCCTTTTTGCATCAGGACTTGTGCAATCTCCTGAATGTCTGAGCCTACAGAAGTTCAGCTCTCATGACTGCGCTAGATGCCCCCTGAACCTGCAAGTCAATGCCCCAAACTAAAACCCTGCTTCCCAATTTGGGCGAAGGAGCGAGATCGTGTCTGGATCACAGCCTGCAAAGTCCTCCACTTCCCAGCAGATGCTGCTTCTTGTGGCACATGTGGCAGGCTACTGTCCCTTATAAAGCCATGGTACAGCAACGCTCGACCTAGCGTCGGAGTCACAACACATGGCAGTTGCATAGCCCCAAGGAAGTCTACTCGACGTCATCCCGCAAGCATCCTCTGCGGAATTAAATTTAATTAGGATACAATCTCAGGAGTTCATGGGTTTGCGGTTTAGGGTTTAGGGTTGGATACGATCTCAGGAGATCAAGGGTGCAAGGTTTAGGGCGGATCAAGGTTGGACAGACTACCGGCCTAAAGTGTAAAGCACCTGGGGTCAAGTGGCTTATCTCGGTTTGGTATCGGGAGCCCTAAATCCATAGACCCTAAACCCTAAACCCTAACCCCTAACTATAAGGAGCCCTAAATCCATAGACCCTTGACTCCTTGAACACATAGCTCTGAACCCCCAACCCCCCAAATCCTGGCGTCCAAGCCTTGGTCACTTGGGTGAGGGTTCGGGGTTGGGTCCAGGACCCTTGAAGGGTTGAGGGCTCACAGGTGCATGGGACTTAGTTGGGATCCCCCTCTCGGCAGCATTTCGTCAAGCCAACTCAGCGCGACTGAAGGGCCGATCCGAAAATTTGTTTGACGTCACGCATCTTGCCTGAAAAACACCGTTTAAGCCCCCTGAGAAGGAATGTAGGGGCCTTACTAATTTTGGGGTATCGTATACTATAATTACAATATAAGGAACCCCCAAAGCCCGATTCTAATGCAAGGCCCCTACAGTATAACCATAAACCCTGAAAAGCACGACCTGAAAGTTCAAGGGGCTGCAAGGTAGTTCCTTTTTAGGTCTGTTATGGTTTTTTGGTAAGGAATTATAGTATACTATCCAAAAAGGGAACTACATAGGAGCCCTTGGAAGAGGGTCGAAGGTCCTCCTCCGTCACCTCAATGAGCGGGTCTGAGAGCATAGACCTGGTATGTGCAAGTTTAACTTACTTAAAATGGTTTAGGGTTTTAGGGTTTAGGGTTTAGGGTTTAGGGTTTTAGGTTTTCGGGTTTAGGGTTTAGGGTTTTAGGGTTTTAGGGTTTAGAGTTTAGGGTTTAGGGCAGCTTCGAGGATTTTAAGGCGTCGCCCCATAATCATGGGGTGGATGAGGGTTTGGAAAATTAAAAAACAAGAACACAAAAGCCCGCCACGAACCGAAACCCCCAAACCCTAAACCTGCCCAGCCTCCAGAACCGTGAACCCTAAGCCTTCAGCCCGTAAAAAGAATCTGCACTCTAACGTACACCCTTCATGAAGAACACTCCTACTCAAGGCCCTCGGATCGTAGCCTAGTGGCAGTAGGATTTACTAAACGATGTCATAACTAAAGCCTGTAAGCTGTCCAAGAAGTCCGCATCGTCACAGTGCCCTTAACCCTAGAGTCCTTGCAACAGCTTATAAACTCAAAACGGCAAATTCTAACCGCTTAAACAAGACTACAAAGTATTCTACAAAACCACTTAGCCAGGCTTTTCACACAAATTCTGACCGCTTGAACAAGACTACAAAGTATTCTACAAAACCACTTAGCCAGGCAAGCTAGCAGCTAAAGCCCCTACAAACCAGTTCGACAACTCCCCCCCTTCGCGCCCTAACCCTAAACTCTAAACCCTGTTAACTGTTAACAACCCAAAACTCTAAACCTGTTAACAACCCTATAAACTCTAAATCCCTAAACCCAAAAGCTCAAGGCTAGCAAGGCGGGCATGGCTCGCACGCGTTGCTCCGGTTGCTTGGAGATGGTCGCCGAGATGGACCTGAAACTTCTGGGTAATGTAGGGGCCTAAATAATTACCTATACTATTGTCGTGGATCCGTAGAATAACAATAGTATAATGGGCCCCAAAACCCTATTCTACTTATTAAGGCCCCTATATCATCCAAAGTGAGTTTGGGCATAGGGCTTATAGGTTCAGGGTTTAGGGTTTGGTGTCAGTACGCGGCTTTATGAACTTGATGACGTTTGATGGGTCTTATTCCAGGGGTTTGTACGATGCAGGACGTTGATTATATACTAGTCTTCCCATCATGAAACCCCAACATGTAAGTGACCAAAACTCCCAAGGAGCCCTTTATGCAGACGAAATTTAAATAGAGTCTCCTAACATAACAAGAGTCCACTTCACGTATATTATATGCTTTCCAAGCAAGGACTTACGTGCAGTGATGGTTATGAAGCTGTGGTTGGGTCCAAAAGATATAAGGGGGGTCTAGCGTTTGCGGTTCGGGGCCCTTGTAACAACATGGAACCCAACACCCGCTTTCAGGATAGTGGACACGGGATTCCTTGGCACGGCCCTGACTCTAGATAATCGCATCCCGACCATGATTGCCATGGACACCAACACTTTTGCTTCAACCCTATTTATTTGCACGAGCCCATTTTGCCTTAAACCCTAAAGCCACAAAGGCCCTAAAGGCTATCTATGGGCAAGAACACGAGTTACAGCGGTGCTTTTGGCATTGGGGGTTCGACCGCTCAAGGCTATTTAGGGCTTCGGGTTTCGGGCTGTTGCGTTCTTTGTTTTTTGGGGCATGTAGGTTCAAGTGAAGAGTTTAGGAAGTTTACGGCCACTCTTCTCGCAGGAACTTCTCTGAACTAACCAATGCGGAACAAACAGAATTTGTGTTTGAATGGTAGTCCGCCTTTGGAGGCTGAAAGTTGCGGGGAGGGTGAGAGTGTAGCGAACGCACATGAAACTCTTTTGTGACTTCGTAATTTCAATTCTAGTTCCCAAACGTGTCCAATCAGCTGCCGCGGTTTGTAACGATCTGAGAAGCACTGAACCCGACGTAAGTCGTAAACCCTAAACCCTGCAACCACAAAGAACACTAAACCCCGACAGCTATCTAAAGACAGGGACGATAACAGCAATGTCTTTGTCTCCCCTCTGGTCTCGAGGTCCGAGCACAAGCTGCAGTGAGATAAGCAGAAGCACCTCCGAGGGATGTTTACGGCTGAGGGACCTTCAAAGACACTATCATGCACGGTGCTATAATAGGATACTATGACCATGAGAATGTACGAGAGTTAGGAGGGGGGAAGTGCAGGCATTCATGCTCTTGTGGGCTTTGCTCAGTCAGTTTCAACCCGAAGCCCCCAAAAAGCAAAGCGTTGAGCTCCGTCGCTCCGTAGGCCGAAAACGTGGCTTTGGCAACCACGCTTTCACCAGCAGAGTTGAGATTGAATGATCTCTATGGAGCTTTCATTGTAGCCTTTTTTGGGTGTTACCCTTAGGATCCTGAATTGAAAAAAAGGTTAAGCCGGTTAAGCCGAAAAGTGAACTATAATGGAGACAACAGGCTGTCTACTCATCTCCTCAGTCGCTGCTACCTGGGCCTAACATCAGGACCCCCCAAGGTACCACAGAACAAAAAAGGCCCTGCGTCCTATGAGCCAATCATGCTCGGTTGCTTTTTGCAAGCCTCCATAATGTGGGGGCTTGAAAAGCCAGGGTCTCATTCGCTGACCTCCGTCATAATGCCAGCCTAAACATTCTTTAAACCCCGTAAATCCTAATTGATCAGGCCCTAAATGCAAAAAACTAAACATATCCTTGAGCATTGCAACCCCCACATCAAGATTCTGTCGCCTGTCCGCCAATCTCTGCAAAGTCTCATAATCGACTGGGTTGAAGGTTTTCAGGGTTGACGTGAATTCGGAAGCCAACAAACAAGCTTCGCCAGGCGCCTCCGGAAACCAAGACGCTAAACCCTAAACCCTAAACCCTCATCCTCAACCTGGCCCTTCCCTGAACAGGCCCTGTTTTCCTGTAGATAGCTTACTTCCAGTTTACTCGAAAGGTACTACCTACAAACCAGGGCCGAAATCACAGAGTACTGCGCAAGTTCAAAATTGACAGCAAAGTTCGTGGATACAACACAACTAGATTCTACACATGCAACCCCCATCTCCACCAAGGCCCATGCCACACCGATGTCTCGAAGCCAGGGAAGCTTTCCTACGGAGGGCTCGGAAATGTCTACACAGCACCATCGGCAATGTATCACAAAAAGCAATGCACAGCTACAGTATTGAACGGGAGGAAACTTCACAGTTGCTCGTCTCGTCGTGTGCAGGTGGTCTTGTGCCAAGACCTTCCTTCACACATCGGGTGGAGCATTGGCCGGTCAAAATACAGTTGAAGTGAGGACCTTGAAGTCTCTTGCATCAAGTGGTCCGAGGCTGGAATTTCATGGTGATTGCTTCGGGCAGAAGACTTCGGCACCATGAGCCTTGGGATAGCAGGACGATTCCGGGCGTCGGCCCTGAATGTCTCACGTGGGTTCTTGAATGCAACAGAACGTCGTAGGGTTAACAAGTTCTATTGTATATATATATATATATATATATCTGTGTGTGTGTGTGTGCGCCATGATCGCGTCCGTAGTCGTCGCGTAAGAAACATAAGCATGGAAAGAAATGGTCTGCCTTCCAAAGGCAAGGCAAGATGCGTTAAGACCACATGGGGTTGTCTCCAAATCCTCCACCTACCAGGACACCCTGACCCTATCAATCCTACATAAACTCTATCCATCCCCGAGCCCCTCAATGCTCGGAATGATTTGTAACATCATTCCTTGCGCTAAGCCCCAAGCTCCAATCAGATTACTTAAGCCGCTTGAACCCCCCCCCCCCAAACCCACTCAAAACTAACACACTAAAAACCTTGGGCCCCAAACCCTAAACCCCCAACGAACCCGGGCCCGAAACCCAGAGCCCAAACCTCGCAACTCGAACTTGAATCTTTCAGGTTTCGGGGTTTAGGCCTCCAGAGACACTGATCTTGACCCGCTCTAAACCCTAAACGGCCGTAAACCCGGAACCCTAAAGCCCTAAACCCTGAACAGCCGTAAACTCCGTCAAACCCTGTAAACCCTTTTTGCATCCAGCCTGCAAGAGCCTCTGCTGGGAACCTAACACCCTGTAAACCCTAAAGCCCTAAACGGCCCTAAACCCTAAACCCTACTAAACCCTCCTTCAATACCGCCCTGCCTGGGTCCAGAGGGGCACCGAGAAGGCCGAAGCGGCCAACGCAATAGCCTGCGAAACGCCCCTAAGGGGCCTTAATAATTAGAATAGGGCTTTGAGGGGTCCTTGTTATGATTATAGGATAATATACCCCCAAACGCTATTCTAAATATTAAGGCCCCTATAAGACAGGCCCTATAAGGCTTCTTTGTTTCAGGGTTCTACGAGGGGTTTCCACTGTTTTCTTCTGTCTTTTTCGAAATGGTTCGAACTTTCAGGGCCTTTTGGTGCTTGGCTTCGTCAGGCGTTTAGGGCTGAGGGCCTTGGGATTTAGGGCTTTTGGGCTTTGGTTCAAAGTTCAGGGGCTCAGTGGCCAGGTGCTTCGCGCAGTTTAGGCTTATCGGAGTTGGCTTCAGCGTGCCATAACTCGTGGAATCAAGAGTCTAGTAGGAACTGACCGAGAAGTTCATTGCAAAGCATCCGCATCTAGCGTTTGCGGGGCTTATCATGAGGAGAAACAGCGCAACTCGCAACTCGAACAAGGTCAAGACATCAATCTTATCTTGTTCCCATTACTTCTCGTACCCTCTTCTCTTCATTCCATGTGTTTCCAGCCTCCAGCAAGTGTGCTTCTATCCTAACAAGCCGTTCTGCACATCCAAATCTGAAAGTCATGGGAGGCACTCCAGAACCCAAACACAGGCTGCGCCTGTGATGAGGTTGGCGGCCTGGTAAACGACCACCTGGGTCATCCGCATACTCTAGCTTGTCGGGCCCTTACCAATACCTAGAATATCTAGATCCCGGCGGTCTAACACCGGCAGTTCCCCTTGTTATCCCTTTTCTCAACAATGGGCCCTAGCCGGGCCCTAGCCCCGACATAAGGTATTCGAGGACCGGCACTAGACGCAGGGTCTCGGCAACCCTGAGGACAGTCTGCTATCATGCCTCAGGTAAGTGTGGCAGGTCCTAAGATAGGAGGCGTCATACTTAGAGCAAGGTTTTGGCAAAGGAGCCCCCAGAATATGCAACCATAAATTGTTCGTGTCCGACAAACCTAGACTACACAGGTACCTTTGGAAAGGGCCCCAAAAAGAGATCTTAAAATGTCAGCAGCTATGCACGTGCCAGCGAAAACTCCAACATCAGAGGGACACCGAGGATCCCGCGCCGGTGAAAAGGCCCAGAGTCCGCTTCAGATGCAGAATGATTGCATTGGACCTCTTCGCGTTCCCAGCTTGAGGTTTTCCCATAATGGGGAAGTAGAGTATGAATAGTATGATTTCCGTACTTTGGGAACTTCCAGTTCAATTCCCCAACAAGAACCCAGCTTAGGGGTGTTGTCTGAGACTGGTGCTCGTTGGGCTTGAGAGTGTCAGGCCTGGTTTGCCGCTGAGGGGATGCGGTGCTCAGATCGGAGAACTGTGCAATTACGTGTCACACAGGTTCACAAAGGGGTTTCCGAAAATAGGAGACCCTAATATAGTACCCTGAATAATAGGATCCCTATTATAAGGACCCCAAAATAAGGTACCCTAATTTTCTGAAACTCCCACAAAGGTTTAGGGTTTATAGGGTTGCATGGTAGGCAGTCCTAGAAGGCTCGAATCACAGTATGGCGCTAATCTAGAAGCTTGGAATGTGGTACACAAAAAAGCCTCGTTTGATAATGGACCCCACGTCATACCGAAAACACTCTTCCGGTTGTCTCAGCCCACACAAGCATAAGGCAAACGGCTCGCCCGAAAAGAACAATTCTGAAAGCCTATCGGGAATCATGCCTCTTAACGGCTGACAACAGCCAAAACATTTCCTGCAAACACGATTTTATACCCGAAGCAAATAGTTCATCCACGAGCGATTCGCTTCTGGATTGTCCCACGGCTGCATGCACAAAGCCTCAATGCTAAACCCTATAGAAACTAAGACGCATGACCCCAGAAACACCAACTCAAAAACACGTACGAACAAAAAGCCGAGCTCTTCCGAACCACCAAAACCCTAAACTCTAAGCTTTGACCCGCCTAGCCGTTGGAGCTTTACGGGTTCGGATGATCTGGGCATCCCCGCACGGCCACCAAAGCGCCCCCCAGGAGCCCCTCGTGACGGCTTCGAACTTTGGCTGGCTTTGGCCAACAAGAACAACAAATACTGACAAACCGTCGTATAAAAATGCAACAACAGTAGTAATCTTTATGTGGCAATATGTGTAGATGCATATACAGCATGATGAAGGGTCTTGCTTGCGCACTTCCCGGCGTGGTCAGCCACGGGCTATGACTGGTGCTTGCATGGTGCTGCTTGGACGCACTTTGACCTACTACGTAGGGTGACTAAGCAAGGTTATGGGGACTTATACAGTGCAAGGGTGCGACCTACGCATACTGCAGTTCAACAAATGACTACTATCCACTGTAGACTCCAACTATTAAAACTCAAACCCCGTTGCCCTTATAGTACCCGTCTGGAAGCCCGTAAAGGCACCCTTAGTACCCCAAAGTCTTTGCCCAAACGAGGACGCTGCAGCTTGTGTACCACCAGGGACGTCATCGACCAAGATGACCTGAAGTTTCGTGGTTTAGGAGTGGGGGCTTTAGCTTGTTTTGGGGCTTTAGGATTAGGGGCTTGGGGCTTGTTAGCGCTACAGGCATTTAAGGCTTACGCTCTCACAACTCGGAAAATCCAGGCGAGGTCTCAGGCGTTCGGGGTGAAAGGGCAGAAGCCTTCTTTAAGGCTTTAGGGGAATGGAGTTTGGGGGTTGTAGGGTGGGTTGAGGTCGAAGGCCGTGTGCGGATCAGGCTGCTACCGCCAAAGCCAAACCGTCGCTGTTGTAAGGTTCGTAGCCGAGGTGTAGAGCCTAAACATGGCTTCAGCGGCTTAGCCTCAATCGCCCAAAGCCCGAATTGTGCAACCCCAACCCCCTGAACCCTGAATCCGAACCCTGTCATGAGGCAATCTGTGAGGCTTCGGCACCCCTCTCCCTCACATGGGTATTTCTCAAGTCTCAATCGGGGTCCCTTTGTACAACGCCCTTACAAAAAGGATCCTGAACAGGGACCCGGATCTAGAGAAGTACCTACATAGATGTCTCATGCTGGGACGCGAGCACCCAAGCCAAGCCCGGTGAAGAGAGCACCGGAGGCCATGAACCATTGGAAAACCTTGGGTGATAGGTCGAAGTCTCTGGTGCTTAAGGTCTGAGCCCGAGCACCTGTTCGGGCTTGGGTACGAGTCCGCAGCTATCTATGTCATTGTAGGAACTGCTTTCCACCTAATTCGGATGTTGAATTACTTGATATAATGAGCCACGAAACCGACCTTGCGTGGGTTTGGGTCTCAGAAGCCTATTGGACCGGCTGCGCCTCAAGTAACCAGGCTATCCATATCTTAAACTCCTTGCGTGGTTCAGCCCAAACCCCACATCCCTGAACTCCCAAATCTTGAAACCCTTTTTCCAAGCCCTTAACGACCCTAAACTCCCAAATCTTGAAACCCTTTTTCCAAGCCCTGAAACCCTATATACCTCCTTTTTTGAGGGGGAGCTGCGCAAGCCAAGCCCTACACCGAGAAGGGAGTCGAGACACCAACACATACTGAAACTTCCTATAACATACGATCATACACTGTAATAGTTGTGCTTTTTTGGGGTTTCCGAAAATAGGGGAGGGGGTCCTAATTTTGCACCCTGAATAAATAGTAGGATCCTTATTGTGCGGATCCCCAAAATTAGGGTACCCCGAATGTTCGGCCCTACGTGACAACCGAAGATCCCGGGCCCCGGCTGCTCCATTGTAGGTGCTCCGGAGCTTTGCCGGAACATACTGGACCTGGGAGTCCATACGGCTCCCCAAGATTTCTGTGGGATTTCATAGGGGTTACTGTAAGGGCGGTGAGGAGGGTTCCTTTGAGTGTACTATGCGGATTTTTGGGGTTTGGGGTTTGTGGTTACCACAAGACTCACGGGCTGCGACAGGTTGGTCTTTGGGCTTGTTTCAGGGGCCTAGAGGTTGAGAATAGAGCGGTTTGGGCGGGCTTTGTCAGGTCACTTGGAACATGGGGTTTAGTTCTGACTCCGGGTGCAACCTGGGATCTATGGCAGCCGAAATCCTAGGAAACCAAAAACCATGGACAAATCGATGCTCGTGTCTCCGGACTCTTGAGATGCATCCGAGAAAGAGCTGCAAACCTTAAACAAAGACCCCATCAACCCAGACTGTAGGGGGCTTCTTGTTTATGGATCCTCGGAAGGGCCTGGGTGCTCCATTCGACGTGTTTGAACTGATGACGGGGCTCAGAGTTCATGACCACGACAACGATATCAAACTGCCAAAGGCACTCTCCACTTTGGGTCTCCACATACAGATCTTCATTCTCAGGATTGTGACGAGCACATGCGTCACGATGCTTTGGTATCGTGGGCCTTCAAATTAACAAACTCAGTGGCTGCAACTGGTAGAACCCGATTTGAAGACGGTCCTCAACTGTGCCCCCAGCGCCATAGAAGACCATGCATCCTGCCTCGAGGCTTTTGGAGCCGATTCAGGCTGTAAAGGACAAGGAGCTAATTCAACAGGGATTTGTTTACTGTGACGTTTCGGGATTTCTTGCAACTTTCTAGCCAATCCAGTGCGTGAGACTGCCAGAACTCTTGAAGGGTGTGGCTTGAGACAATCTCTCCCAGATCCAGCACATGTAAGTAATATAGGGAACATGTACTTACGTAGGGCCTACGGAATCAGCACGGACGGCCGGATGGAGTACCATGCATATCATATAGTACCATAGGAGTACTGCATCCTTCCTCCTATGTTGCGGCTTCGCAGAGCATTTCCAGCGCAGCTTGTTTGCGTGGCGAAAGCGTCGAAACTTTAACTCCAGAGTCCATGCAAGCAGCCAGAACCACAACTTCCACACTAAGATGAAAGCACCTGAATTCCGAAGACACACCAACCTGGCAACCCGGGTTTAGGGGCTTGGGGGTTAGGGTTTGGTGGTAGATTCATGGTTGACGGGCTTCGGATTCAGGGTTTAGGATGTAGGGCTTATACGGGTAATTGCAAGAAATTCAACCAGGTTGTCCAAGCCTTGCAACCCTAACCGCCGACACCAACCCGGCGATCCTAAAATCCGAATGGAAGCCCATGAACGCCCGGTACAGCCCTCAACACCCAACCCTCCTCTCACGAAGGGAAGCCTCTACACTCGACCCTCTGCCGAAGCCCTGAAAATCAGCACAGCTAGTTAGGGTTGAAGTCTCGCAGCCGAAATTCGAAACACTTGAGGGCTTGGGGCTTGGTGTACAGGCATCTTGGTTCGCAGGTCAGTCGGCTTTGGGGGCTTGATTTGCAAACACTCATGTCCAAGGGCCGGGCAATGGGTAGGCCATAAGCGACTTGGAAAACCTTCGCTGTCACAGGTTCACCATTGCATAAGTGAAGCCACCCTCCTCGTAGAAGAAGTACTTACAATGCATTTTTTGTCTGTGCGTTTGTTCGCTATGTTTGTGCCTCATTATGTTCTTTTCCTCCCATTCCTCCCCTTGGTCCGGCTCAGCAACTGACAGGTGGGCCCCATATCACTTCGCTTTGAGTCAGACGTCGTTTTGGGGGGGGGCGTATGTTGCATTTCGGATTTTTCCTCAACCCTGCACCGAGCTGCAGACCCTAGGCCCTAGGCATGCAGTCAACAGCCTATGAGCCTGACCCAGTTGCCAGTGGACAAATAATGAAACTTATTTGCCGCTACATGGAAACACGAATTAACACAACAGTATTGGGCGACAGCTGTAGCACGAATCACGTGATGGTCACTCGCTGCTGAACCAGGGCCTGTAGTTTTTGGGGTTCAATCTGGTTTCAGGGGGTGTCGAGTGCTGCCGTGACTAGGCCCAACACCATGTTCAACGAGGGCACCAGCACGGCGCTTCGACGGAAGGAATATTTTCCTTGACCTGCGGAAAAGTTGCCAAGCCATGAGCGCGTGTAGACATGCTTGCATGTGTACATCTCCATCGATGTATCTCTGTCGGCCAGTGTCTGTACACCTGTGGCTGCTGGTAGGTCGGTGAGACTGTCCGTCTGTCTGCCTCTGTCTCTGCCTCTCTCACTCTCTCCTCTCCCTCCGCTGTGTCTGCTCCAATCTCTGACTGCTCATGGCTCTTCCGCTCGCTCCATCTCCTGCCTTCTCTTCCCTACATAAAGAAATAATTCTATCTGTATATGTATGAGTATACGTGCATGCGGCCCTCCTGAAAAATCTGGAACCCTTGATGCTTGACAGCCAAGGAAATTTGTGGTTTTCTCTATACACGCCAGCACAGACTAGTGTAAACCCTAAGCACTGTATCGACAGGCATACATACGTATGCAGCAGCTAAATGAAAACAACTGTAAATACACACATGCATGCATTACATACGCTACATACCTTTCATGCATTACATGCATACAGACATACATACATGCATACATACGTACCTGCGTAAATACATACATACATACATACATACATACATACATACATGCATACATACACACATACATACATACATACATACATGCATACATGCATAAATGCATACATGAACACATACATACGTACATACATACATACATACATACATACATACATACATACATACATACATGCACACATACGTACATACATACATACATACATAAATACATACATACATACATACATACATACATACATACATACATACATACATCGACAGATAAACAGATAGATAGCTAGATAGATAGGTAGGAAGATACATAGATAGAAAGAAAGATAGATAGATAGGTAGATATGTAGGTAGGTAGAGAGAAAGAAAGATAGATAAATACACACACATATGTAGATACATAGGTGCATACATGCATGCAAACACATGCACGTAATTGAACATCGTACGGTCTCAGTTCTCCAATACTCCGAACAGCGGCCTCAACCAAATTGAATTCTCTTGCACTGAAGTGCAGTAAAACCGCGAAAATGCGAAACCGCAAACCCGGAACCGAATATCCCCCGGAACCCGATACAATACAAACTCTAAGCACCCTGCGAAACCGAAAAGTGTGCAAAGCCCTGTGCCCTAAACCCGAAAACCACAGATCTGCAAAACAACGAAGCCGACTGGGCACCTCATGCGGCAGCCATGCTGGGCCAGAAGCGTGGGGCAGGCTTCAGGGCAGTGGAATTGGGGATTTTGAGCTTTTGGTTGGGGGCTCATGAGCTCATGCTTTGAGCTTCAATCCTTGTGGGTGGTGTCTATGGGGTATGTCGGTAATACATGTAAAGCAGTTGTCTGCTTCAGGGGACAGCAAACTAAGCCAGCCAAACTATTATCTTGAAGTGACACGGCCTCTTGCCGCTTTTGGGTTCCCCCCATAGTTGCCGCAGCATCTTTCAGTTGAGTTAAGATTCAGCTCTTGAGGCACGGGCCTGTCGGCTTACGGAACTTCATGCATGAGGCAATAGCAATCCACAAAAGTCTGTGAAGCATGAAACAGCCGTCAATACTGCGTGTAAGGGAGCTGTTAGTTTCCTAGTGAAGAGTGTTTTGCTCGGCAACGACACCTTTCATGAAGTTTAAAAAATCCAGGAATGCAAAACAATGCTCAAACCTCTGATAGAAGCCTCAATGACTAGTCATACTATCCCCATATAGTCCCTATATACTTAAAGTACAATATACCCCACTTTAAACCCTATATATCACGAAACCATGATAGGGAACCATAGGAGAGTAAGTTCCTTAGAACCTAAACCCTTTTGCAGCAGGCTTCTCTCGCCCGGATCTGCCGTCGCCGTGAAGAACCTAACCCTAAACCTTAAAACCTCAACCCTTTTGCACAGACTTGTCGATGCCCGCCTGGATCCCAGAAAACCCTAGACCGTTTAAACCCTAAACGGGACCCTAATAGTGAATCGTTCTTAGGATTTAAACCCTTAGGCCCCAAACCCCAGGAAAGCCCTTCTTTTCACCACTCTGCTCGCTAAAGCTCTGAGCGGCGCTGCTCAGTAAGCTTAGAGACTCGCACGTTCTCCTTTCGAAGAATAGGCTTTAGGGCGTAGGGTTTGGGGCCGGGTTTTGGGTTTACCATCATTCAGAAACCCTGTCGAGGGTTCCTTAGTATGTTCTCCTTAGATAATCCGGGTCCAGGTAGGGCTCAGGGGTTCCATATAGCACTGTAGCGTTTTGTGTTAAAAGGTCAGGGCTTGAAGAGGTTTCTGTGTGGTGTGTAAGGACTCCGATTGGTCTGATGAGGACTCCATATGGTTTCGTACAGTCTTTGAAAGGAGGCTCAAAACGGTTTCTATCCAACTATTTGTTCAAAGCTATCTATGCATCTATCTACATATGTATCTATCTACATACGAATGTATGTGTATACATACACATGTATATATATATATATATACATACACATATTTATATCATGGGTTAATGATTACTAGTGCTGGGATTGTCTATGCTGTAGTCTTTTGGCCTGAGGACAACGATGTTCCAACATTCTGGGTTCCACCAATCTTTTGAAGTGCACGAGACTAGACCATACATTGACGTAAGGATTGCAGGCGAATTTCATTTCGAAATGCTCAGATACAGATACATATATCCGACCCCATGCACTGCCGTCCTGCGTGCCGGAATCCCGGGACACCTTGGCGTTGGGCTTGGGAGTAAACGCAAACCAGCACAAGTAGGTGGAGGGGTGAGGTGAAAAGACCCCGCTTCCCCGGACCATGAACACTGACCCCCGCTACCGAAGGTGCAACGCAAAACTAGCAAGTGCAGTGCTGGCACAGTATGTGTTAGCTGCAGGACTAGCAAACAATCAACAAGGCTTTGTCGCGTAAAGTATACTATGATCACGAAGGTAATTCTAGATTGTGGGTTAAACTGTTAAACACTATTCAGCATTTACGCGGATGAAGTGTCTGTCCTCAAAGGTCTAAGCGGGCAACGTCCATGACGCCCTAATCGCTTGCAATGAGATCCAAAACCCCAACACCAACGAATACCCCTCTACTACAACATGTAGCTCATTCTTTCTGGTTGGACACATCTAGGGTTCGGACCCCGGCATCAGAAAGAAGCACGGCAACGAAACCAAGGAACTACATTGGAACATTTATAGGTCGATTCGCCATAGATCTTCTGGGGCCATGGCCATATTGATCACCTCGTCAAGGTCAAAAATAGGATGCAGGGCATGGTTTGCTCTTGTGCTTGATACGGTTGCAATGACTGTTGGGTCCGGGTGGGCAGGGGCATAACCTTAAACCCTAAACCCTATAAACCCTATAAACCCTATAAACCCTATAAACCCTGAACCCTAAACCCCATACTATGTGGGTCTCCAGCCTCCTCAAGGCAGAGATCTCCTCTTTGGCGTTTAATTCGGGTCTGGGGTTTAGGGTTTAGGGTTTAGGGGTAGGGGTTTAGGGTTTAGGGTTTAGGGTTTGGCGTGTGGGGTTACTCTTACCTAGTAGCCAATACCCTCTTTGGCGGTTAATTACGGCTTAGGGTTCGGGCTGCCTTCTAGCTAGCTCGGTGTGGAGTTGCGTACTTCAGCCAAAGGCCCATGTCAAACACCACACTTCTTAGCGTGCCAGAAACATGTCCAAGGATGTTTCCGTAGATGTATATAGCACAATCAGACACAAGCACGAGGAGGAGGCGGAGGAGGTGAGATCTAAGGGGGTGGGGCATTGGTGTCGGCGGTTCAGCGGTTGCGGTTGCGTGGACGGAAGCTAATGGAAACTTATGGGTTTGAGGTCTTCGTTTTGGGTATCCTCGATTCTTCCGAGCCAAGAGTTAAGACGATTGAAACAGAGAGAATCCCAAAGCCGAAAATGCCCAAAATCCTAAAACTTAAAACCTTAAAAATGCCCAAATCCTAAAACTACAACACCTTAATTCAACTCCTCGCTGCTCATGTACGCAAATTTCGTAACCCCTGGGTCATGGTCGGGCCTCGTCGCCCTCTTCGCCTGCCACACGGTTTAGGAGTTTTAGGGTTTTACGGTTTAGGGCTTAGGGTTCAGGGTTTGGGGTTTAGGGTTTAGGGTTTAGGAGTGTTAGGGTTTTACGGTTTTTGTTTCAATTCATAAGGTCTTAAGAGCTGTATAGCGCCTAACGTTTCAGGGCTTCGGGCCTACATTAGGGTTTGTATAGCTACACAGGTACATGGACCATTCGGGAGGGAATGAAGAGGGTACCCGGATTCAAGACAAGGCACGTTCGACAGGGCAAGCAAAGCGAAACTACCGAATCGAATTATGTGCTTGGTGTACATGTCAACGAGAAAGCCGGAGAGACAGAGGAACAAACGCCCATGCTACCGATAATGTCGTTTTGGCGGGGCGACGACCCTGTGCTGCCGAGGCCAACTGCAAAACAGGACTGAGGTCTTATGGCTTCAAAATGAGCGCACCTTAAACTACTCTGAACACTGAACCCTATACAGTGGATCTTCTACACCCCCGTGCCCAAGCTCGGAAGATGCAAAACTCGAGGTTTAGCCAGTCCCACCCAGCGTATATCCAACCCTTGAGCCCAAAAGTCTTAATTAAGCCAAACCCTAAACAAACTAAACCGATAAAACTATACAGACTCAAACCCCGCAGCTCTTAACCCAAATCTTAAGAACCCTAAACCCTAAACCCTAAGCCCTCAGGCCTTCCATCATGCCACGCACTTTGCGATACACCGCCTGGGGACAACACGAGATCGGAATCGGAGCGCGAATTCAGAGCAGAGGAACACGGGAGCTTCAAATATTCGAGCCCTATCAGGGTTTAGAAGTTTCGGGTTTAGGGCACCCCAAATAATGCCAACAATAAAAATACGAACGAGAAGAATAATAGGAACTGATGCAAGCAGTAC